CCGTTGGTCGTGCGCGTGTCCGTTGGTCGTGCGCGTGTCGTGCAACTGGTGGGTACATCATCTGCACGCAAGTCAATCACTGAAAATGACAAAAACAACAAAAATAATGTTGTTCATGGTGTACCTGACCAGCCTTGCTCAGCACATGGATGCTCTCAGCAATCATCCTGAAACAGAACGGTGGATTCTGATGCATATGAAGCAGGTCCTCCATTGTGCGCTTGGTGGCGTTGTTGTGCTGCATGTGCTTGTAGAGCGCCTTGTTCTTCAGGTCTGCTATTGTGTGCTCTATGGCTCCCTGTCTTTGTGCTACATGCCTGTGATGTGCCTACGTTTTAGAAGTAAACATAGGAGGTCAGTAAGAATAAAGGTAATAACAACAGCAAATGTACTGGAGGCAGATTGTGTTCATTAAGCTCTTCCTCTGTTGCTGGACCCATTGGGTCCTCTGGAATGTGTGCATCATTGTTGTTGTTGGCCCTCTTGGTGTTGATGGCTGCCATGGCCATGATCGCCTCATCTTCCATTTGCTCATCGTCCTCATCCTCCAGCTCATCTCCTTGTGTGTCCTCAACATCATTTATTGTTTCTTCGCTCTCACTCTCAACCTTGACCTCACTCTTGACCTTGCTCTCACTTCTGTTGACCTTCTCTTCCTTGCTGTAGCTGAAAACTCTGTCGCGCTTGTTGTTGTCGCCTTTGTCTCCCTTGTTGCTGGCCTGGCACTTTTGCTTGAGCAATTGCTGTTCTGTGGCCAGCTTCTTGTTTGCGCCTGTTAACAACAGTGTTTATGTTAGCTCACAAAGAGCAAAGAGCAAAAGCAAGCAAGCATATGCTTCTCTCTGGCTGCCCTGGCATGGCGTTCAGATTGTTCATGCTGCCACCCTTGATGTGAGATCCAAATCTCACAATCAGCACACCACTTCCACCCATTCATCACCATACCTGTCCCCCCCAATGCAAACAACTGTTTATTGGAGATTGTGTGAGGGGAGCAAACCAAAGAGCAGGCTGAGCAGATTGTGGCCACTGAAGAAGAGTGCGTTGGTCATCTTGAAGTAGCATGTGGGACAAAAGAGCTCCATATCTCCTGTCCCCACAACACAACTGAGAAGAAGGAATTGTAAGATGTACAAAACAAGAGGATACAACAGGGAGGATACCATCTCTTGATGAAGCTGTAGGCTTCGTTGAAGTAGGTGATTGTCCTTGAGCACCAATAAACAGTGCACCTCATGTAGAGGATTTGGCCACTCAGCTTGAATGCGATGAGGTGATCAATGCACTCATTGAAGCGCCAACAAATGAGCTCCTTGGGGCCATTGTCAATGGTGAAGGCAAGCGCCTTGGTGTTCAGACCATCACCAAACAGAACAAGCCCCTCATAGCCACCAAGCACATGCATTGCACATGCGAGAATCATCTCAGCGTCAAGTCCATGCGCCTCCTGTGTATGAAATATGTAAAGGAGGAGCATCAGGTGCACAAGTAAAGAGCAAAGAAAGGAAGGTACCATGAGGAGGCTGGCAGCCTTGGTGACTGCCTCACCTTCTTCTTTCTCTTCTTTCTCTTCTTCCACGTGCATCTCATATTCACTGCTGTACTGGTCTTGTGCACTACACAAAAACAAATTGAGACAAGAAAGGAGATTTACATACAACACATACCTCAAGGCAAGCGTCATCAACATAGAGCTTGCCTCATACTTGTCACAAGCAATCTTCCTTTGCATCTCCTCCTTCATCTGCTTCTGCTTGTATCTAAGCATATGAAGGAAGGGGTGTAAAGGAAGTGAGTAGGCGCAAAAACATAACAGGAAGCAGGAGGCGCAATTACCTCCTGTGATAGTACATCAAGAAGATTTGAAAAAGGAGCACATGCTCCTTGTCCAGGTCAAAGGCAAAGTCAATCTGGTGCACAAAGAGCCAGTGGTAGAAGTCATTGATCATGCCATCCAGGTCATTCATGTAGGCGTGGTCTTCAAAGCCCTTGTGCACATTGTTAAATGACCACATGCAGATAACAGCAATGAAGTACCATTCTTCACAATCACCAAAGTAGAGATGTTGATCATTGATGTCAACAATGTCTTGTCAGTCTACACAAAGATTCAGCAGGTACACCTGCAGTGACAACACAACATCAGTAGATTAGCAACACAATCACACAATCACACATACCATCTTGAGGCTGCGCCATTGTGCTACGTCCTTGCATATTTGCTTCCACTTGTTTTTACCTGCATAATGATGCAGCCTCCTCTCACAATTGGCCCTTGAGGGCATTAGAAATCAAGTAAATGGGAAAGGTGGATTGATGTACAGCAATGGGCGTGGCTTGCGTTTCTTCCATGATCGCCTCTTGCACTCCTTGGGGTTATGATATTGGGCAATGCTGCCATACCTGCATGGATTGCACAATTAACCCATTGGGGAGAGCAATGGGAAGGAAACGTACTCCATTTTTGGGCATTGCAGCTTGGCCACTGGAGAAAGGCAAGATTAGCAAAATTAACAGCTAATTGAAAGCAATTAATGCATGTACTCATTGAATCATGCACTCAATCATCTGTGGCACACAAATCAAGGCACAGAAGGGCCTGCTCTGTTTTATTTAATCAAAGGGCAAAGCTCTCCCTGCCTCTTGAAGAGCCCTACATGCATGGCGTTGCCAAGGGTGGTAAGGAAAAGAAGCTCAGTGTGTCTAGGGCCGCTTTCCGCGGCAACTTCTTGTCGACAAAGGAGCATTCCTCAAATGACTCACACCAAGTGGTGATTTTATACAGTCGAAAGTAAATATTCCAAACAGCCTGCAGAGCACCTTCCCACCATCCACAGAACCAAGCTCATGGGTTCCATGGATGAAGAATGCAAAATATTTAAAGCAAAAAAGTGCAGCAACAAAGAAAATGAATTTATTAAAAAAAAAGAAGCCATGTCAGCATTTACAGTTACAGCTGTAAACCTGTATTCAGAAGGCATACTGAGTGCCCAACTTTTTTTACATTTTTTTGTTTTAAATTGTTTTATTTGCAAGCAAGAAAAGAGAAGAGAAAAAGAGACAAGAAACAGGAAGAATTGATTTTAAGTGCACAAAGGAAGACAAAGTATTTTATTCTTCTTTATCAAGAAGATGGAGGGGGGTCAAGTAGTGGGTGAGCGTCAAGCGGTCGTAAAAAAACGCCAGCACAGAATGGAACGGGCATCATCATGTGTGTCAAGCACCTTGAACATCTCCTCTAGAAGGGAGATGTTGAGGGGGGGCAAGTTTTCTTTTTATTTGTTTATCATTTTCTTCTTCGAAGTCGTCCATAGAAATAAAGAGAAAACAATTTTCCTGACACCACGATTTCTGTGGACTTCTTTTTATTTCTGAAGTGTATTTTTTTTCAAAATAAAAAGAAGTCCGCAGAAATTGCAGTTATTCCAGATGTTGGTTCCACGGTATGCAAGCCAAGAAAAAAGGTACTTAAAACTGGGAAATAACCAGGGTTGACAGCATAAAGGCCAGCCACGGCTCATCAACAAGATCAGTATTCCACTCCCACTGAGTAGCAGCAGCACAAGTCTTCCTCCTCCTTCCTCCTGGCCAGTACATCTTCACTGCTAGCACATGTGTTTGAAAAGCTGAAGCTGGTGAAGAAGCCAGCTGAGTTCAAGGTGAAAGTTGCAGGTACATGACCTTTCATGTGCTTTAACCTGTTTATTTACTGACTTCATGCATGTGCAGTTGATAAACAATTCAGGGATACGCTCATTTGAATGGCCTTCAGAATGGTGAATGAGTGGGTGTTTGAGGACCCCTTGTGTCCTCCCACTGAGCCTGGCCATTCAAAGCAATCAGTTGTGTGGTGGAGGGACATGAACCTGGCTGAAGTGTGCTTGGCCAAGCCTGGAAGCAAAGTGGTGAGTCTCTTTAAGTATGTCAACTCGCCCCAGGCACATGTGGTACATTAGTGCATAATGCACACAAACACTTAGCGCATAACGCACACAACTTTGTTCTCATCTTTTCTTGCAGGCTGCAAAGAAAAAGGCAAAGAAGAAAGAGTTCAAAGAACAGGACGGCG